GGAATCCTGGAGCAGGTCAAACGCGACCAGCCTGCTGTGATTCTCAGCCAGCCCAACCCATCGATGCAGACGATTCGTGAGAGCGGGAGTCGAGCTCCATAAGTCCGTTGGTGTCGGGAAGTCTAGAGCTTGCTTCCAATGTCATATTCAGCGTCACATGCTACCCGAAAAGATCTGAGAAACCAAGCTAGTTCTACGTACGGCGACCCCGGGTAACTTGATCATAGTGGAGTGTGACTTCAGCTGACCAAATCAGGCAGTGAAGTCGCTCGTCCTGCGAATCGCTGAGGAATAGCAGATCTCGCCGTCGAACTCAAGAGACGGAATGGGATCGCTCACAAAACGTTAGCACACTTCCGATCGAGCAGTCAACCTACTACCGTCACGTTTCTCGTACCGCTACGGCTCCATAAGTTTGGCCCGCTTCCATATCAAACAGGCAACCTGTAAATCAATCAAGGAAATGTCGCGCAAGTCCCTGAATGCAATACTGTCATTCCATTCACCGGATATCTCGTTCAACAGGGAAAAAACTAGGTTTTTGTCCCCGGGGAGCTCCCGGGCTATTTTCCCCGCTTTTCTCCTCGAGTCTCCGAGCTCAAGTCAGTTCATTCGAAAGGATGTCCCGGGAGCTTGTCCTCAAGAATCGAAAACCGATCCGCCTTGCGAAAATTCAGCTGCGTCGCCCGCGCGTGCTCGACCTGCGCTACAGAAGCAGCAACAGGGCGAGCTCGCATCGACTACCACACACGACGGTGAGCTAATTTGGAGTGGGATCAATAGAGCTGTCATTGCCTGAGGGGTTCGAGGCGAACGAATGCTTTCGATTTGAGCCAAGACGGATTCTGTTTGCAGTTCCCCATTTCCCCTCCTCCGTCTCACTTCGGCAGCCCCGGTTCTGACAATAGTGCCTTATCGAAAGTTACATTAATTTTCCCCTCGATATGCTCCGATTTGCGCACAACTTCCTCCATCTTCCGTTCCTTTTCGCAGGAAAGCTCCCCGATTCCACCGGCGGTGATTCGATATCAGTCCTCTACACCGCAGAATTCATCCCAAGTAATGACAGACGGGTGCGATGACCACAATATGGGTCACCCAGTAGCATCCGGTCGCGCCTTGCCCCTGCTCGAGAGATCACCGCGACTACGATGTCAGTCACCTCTAACAGAGTGCGCTAACGATACAGCTAGACGCGATCAAGCGCTTCAGGCTCCGCTCCTGGCCGACTCTGCTACCCTGAGCGCGTGCTTAGCAGCGACTGCGTTTGATGTCAAGGTAAAACTGGAACTCTCCCAGGGGATTCCGCCGCCCCCTCCACACCGCAGAGGCTCTGGCTCTACTCTGCCTCGAAAGGTCCCGTTCGACCTCATGAGATTGCGCTAAAGGCTCATCCTTCGAGAGATTTCCGGGTGCCCTGTGGGTCTACGGTCTTCCTCGCTCATCCCCTTCGCGAAATTGGATCGGGAGGAGAAACTCCCGATACTGGAGAATAGGGTGGAGGGATTCCAAAATCACCCGAAAACTTATGAATGAGGTCATGAGGAATTTTCTTCGAGAATGCATCAACAAATTTTATGCGAAGTATTGGGAGACCCCACCTAACTAACGGAATCTCGCTCGCTCAACACCCGATCTAGTTTTCAAGAATATTCAGATAGATCTGGAGCCTCCCATCGCAGCCACTGACAGCACCACGGTCTTCTTGACGATCATCATCAAGTGTTTATGGCTGTTCCGGGTGTCATTATGCGGCACCATTCAGGATGGAAAACAAAAGATCGGAGACAAGTGCTAAACGCTGTCTTGTGCATGAGAAGGTGTCATCCTTCAAGCTCCGGTCGCGAGCTCGAAACAATGAAGCGAATGCCATGGCAAATTCAACGATTCGAGCCGAAATCGGCGAATATTGGGATTCCAATGCAGCTTGGCAAAGCGGCACTGCTGAGCAAGATATTCTGAATCTGAATATTCGTATTCAGCGACGACATGCGCTCTGAACGCCCGTTATCCAGTCAAGCCGGCGGCGCGGCAGGCCCGTTGAAGCCAGTTGCGCCCCAACCACAGAATATCAAAATGCACGTCTCAGAAAATTCGACGTTCAACGTTCACCACCAGCACTGACTGAGCGGAGGAAACACGGCAGCGAAACGGGAAACGTAGATGCATCAAAAAAAAGATATGCCGTGGACTAGATGGAAAGCGAAACCTCGCCGTGGAAAAATTCGAACGATGGAAAAAGCAAGCCGTGGAATGGACGGACTAGTCGTCGGGAGCGAGCAGAAACGGGTCAATGGGGAGCTCTATGGCAGAGGGCATTGGAAAAGATCGGACTGAGAAGCAGAACAGGCCGAGCCGACTAGAATTGAGGTTCCGCAATGAAGAAGGACACCTTCGCGGAAGTTTCGTCTATCCCATGGAATACGCTCGCTTGATCGACCGAGCCGGAGGATTAGGGCAAAAGCCGTGATGCGTCAAAGAGAAAACTCCTCTCGATGAGGTGACCCAGAAGAAAAGTGTCGGAAGGAAAACATTCGCATGCCGCATAAGCGTATCTCCGGGAATCACTAAGAAGGCTGATTCTGAAGAGGGAGGAGAAGCAGAAGATTGGAACACACGGCAAGTACTGTAACTAGCCGAGCGTTACGCCCAGCAGAGGAGCTCTACCGCGACCTACCAATGGCCGTTACGGGAAGATTTCACCCCTACCGTCGGCGCCGGCGATCGTCGGATGAAGGAGTGAATGTATGCCTGGCAGTCTGGTTGCCTTTTTTCGTCGTTAGAAGCGATCAGCATCGGTGCTTCGCTTCTGGAAGTCGCAGAAGCGAACATTTTCTGGACTTCTGGAAGCACTCGCTGGTGGAGCGACAATGAATCAACAGCCCACAAGTCTCCACTCTGGGAAGTATTTTGGTTGCAGAGGAAGGACTCGCATATGCGACCCGTCACGGGGAGAGTAATCATTAAGAATTCCCCAAGCGATTGCCGATTGGGTATCCCCGTCGGGGACCCATCCCGCATCCAGGAGACTTCTTAAGGTATGAGGGCATGAGCAAGATGATTCTCGGCGAGTCATGTAGTTCTCGAGGACAGAGCAGAGGAGACAATGCCAGGAAAGTGTCTGTTTCCGATCAGACGAAGACCAGAGGAAGTATGTTTTTCTAGAAACGCCTTCAGATTCCGACTTCCGCAAAGTCCTCGTCGGAAAAGTAACAGAGGCCGCGGAGCGAACGCTCAGTTTCGCGCTGCCCCTTCGTGTGCTCCGGGCGCGCTCCACGTCGCCGCTCCACATGAGCGTCGAACTCTCGATAACGAAGCGGAGCGAATCGATCGAGTGACTGTTATGTCATGCTGCTCGCTAGAACAATGAGTCGACGAATAAGATATGATTATGTCGATGATGATAATAACGACACCATTGACAACTGATCCGGAGAGGCTCTCGCTCACAGCGGTCGTCAAGAGTGATTGCTAATCCGATGCAACTATCGACTGGCTCTCTCTGAAAGAGAGTCCGTTGCGGAACATATTACGCGGTCCGATTCCACCCCTAAGGACAAGGTTCGTCGACCGCAATGAACAGAGGAGCCGGCTCCAAGAATATATTTTCTAAAGCGAATTCTCGGCTCGAATGTGTAGAATGCAGTCGAAAGACATCCATTCATCGAAAACCTCACTGGCTACTGAGTAACTTCTCGATCGATCGGAAACCGCGACTCCCGGGAACCACACCGATGCTGTCACTTCAGTCCCGTCGGCAGCTCTCAGCAAGGGACGCGACGCCGGGAGGGGGGGGGGGCGTTCTACGGACCGGAATCCGAGGCACAAGCCCGACTTCCTCATTCATACCATGAGAGAAACGCATGGAGTCCCCCGCCGAGCGAGAGAGATACGGAGCAGTAAAGCCATTGTGCGCGAGTCAGGATAACAGTGAGAGAGCCCATTTATGCAACAAAAGGATGCGTTCGTCCTTCAGCGGATGGCAGCTGGGCAGGGAGGCTGGGTGCTGAGCTCCGACCGAGTTGGTCGGTTGGTTTCGAGTACTGCGGCTAATTTAGTCGGGGTCGACGCTCGCTGCCAGGGAGTCCGAACCCACATTTCGGAACGACCTGGCAGCCGCACGTCAGCACGACCACAACTTCGCACCTCCCTCCTCAGGAGAGAGAATTCATGCACGCATGTAATCAACGACTCCGCTATTCACTTCCACGGAGAAGGAAACAAAAACCCCGCTCGGGGAGCCGATTATGACGTGGGGCTCCATTCCCCGCTAGCTCCTCAATCGTTGCTGTTCGTGTAAAAATTCAAACTTCGAGAGAGACTATCTACGCAACTCAGATATTTTTCTGACGTGGGTGATAAAGTCGAGAGAATCGCACGGTTCCGGAGCCTCAAGGCGGAATGAGTCGTTCGTAGTTTCGAGTGATGATGACCCATGAATTGAAAGGATTCGGATCGGAGTCTCATCGCCGATTCCGAGTATCGAGAAAATCCCGCCTTCCGCTCTGTCACGTCTACCTTAGCGGATTGTGTCGCGAGAGTGAGTTCCGCTTAAGTTCTGACCCCGAAGCCAAGTGAAATCGTATGTCATACACGATCGAGTATGATCCGAGACTTATCGGAGGGGAATATGGGAGCTTTTCTCTCGCGACGCCAGCGTCAGCGCTCAGCGCTAAGCTGTCATCACAATAACAAGGAGAAGCAGATTTCTTGAGGATTCCACGAGGTGTCGAGCTCGACAAATTTCAGAACTGGCCGCGGGCCAACAAGTTTAGTGGTATCTCCGCTCAGAAAGTTGACTGAACCCCCTGAAGGGCGAACTTGAATTGCTTGGAACCGTCGTTTCCATGGTTTTTCGTCGACAGCGGCCGCAGCGGCTACAGCAGTCGCTAGCATCGTTAGCGAAACGGCAGCAGCGGCGACCGAAGTACTGTTATGAATTTCGTTGCTTTCTACTTCAGATTGGCCTGAAGGTCTCGACATTTTCTCGAAGTCATTACCTTTTCGAAGATTTGTCTTATCCAAAAATCAAGCCTGCTAGAGGACACATTGTCTCTCCCGGTCACGGCAGACGTAGAAGAGAAGGCAATCCCAGATGAGTCACGGACTTGTCGGCGATCGTTCACCTCAATTCAACAAAAAAACGGCTCTTACACTCAAAAGGTCTTCACTGTTAATCTAACTCCGCGCGAATCCCGTTTCGAAGCGGAGTCAGCACTGAGTTCACGTTCTCTCAAACTCCTTGCCACCACGCACGCACGCATACAGAGCAGCACCACCACCAACCACAAGCTCTATGTTGTTCTCTTTTCGTCGTGCTACCTCTCCTCGGCTCGACTGGCGGCAGCAGCACAGCAGTGGTGTATTGCTCGATGGGAGAGTGGAGCCGATGATGGTGATGATCTTTGCTTTCACTTCGGATGCGATAGGGCGGCCCTCTGATCAATCGGATCTCGGATTTCCTGTCCTATGGCCTATGACTGGATCGAGTAGGACACTCAGTAGGACACTGGATGGTCGCGCTGGACCATGAGGGATCAAGCTGGACCGCTGTCTGAATGAGCTCGTTCACCCTCCTTTACCGCGACCTGGGGTTCTGCCTGCTGACCCGAAGGACCGTCCTGATAGGCCGTGGCGCATCCGTGCCCTGGCCACAATAGATCGCCTCTCGCGATCCTCCGACTAGAGGATCTGGAATCGGGAACAGGGAAGGAACCGCTCGATCGCGCTCAAACCTTTAGCAAGGATCAGCAAAATCACTGTCCTCGATATCCCAGGAGTAGCTTTCGTTTTCCTTCGATTCTCCTCCGTCCCCACCCTGCACTTAGGTGAGTTCCCCAGTTTCCCCGAAACGCCCATGACCATCCGGAGAGCACCTTATACGCGCACTACGAGCACTCAACGGAGATTCAAATCGAGTTTCGAGTTCCCAAGTCTGCTGGTGTAGAAAAAAATCTAGGAGAAGCAAAATCCCGCGGGCGGCGGTACTGAGAGCATTGCGCGGAAGGGTCGGGAAGCGAAGTGACAGGGGTTCATCGCACCCTGATGTAGATAAGCTTCGAAGGCTGATTCCCGTTCTCTACGCTCTCAGCGGAGGAGGGAATAGGGCATCCCTCCTTAGGATCCAGAAGCTTCAGAATGAGAGCATCAGAGAGGGCCCGCTCCAGCTTTTCCGCGCGGGTCCAGGATACCTCTTAGCCTTTCGCGGCTAAATCCTTTGTATTCGAGACTACCCTTAGAGTTTTCGTTAATTCGTCTCGCCGATTAGAAAATTCGAAGATTCTCTTATGCGTCAATATCGATATCGTCAGAGGATTGGCACGCGCTGCCTTTATGTGTCTGGAAAGTATTACCCCTCCCACCCGCAACTCTCAACGAGGAACTGAACCCAGAAAACACTTGCTTGTGGTGCTGCCAAAGGGCTGGGAGATAGATTCACGCAGAGAACAGCAGCCCTCTGCTTAACTTCTTTAACGTTGGTTGGATCGGACTTTATTTATCAGATTCAGTTTCCCCACTCAGAAGCAATTCGGGGAAACGGATATCAGGATCACGGCTCCTGGGCGGGGTTGGAGAGCAGGTGTCCCGTTCTCGATATCGAGGAAGCGGGAACCTAACTAATGTATTCAGCGCATTTTCGATTAGCGCCGACGCCAGAAGAATTCTATCGATTTCAAAATCAGATTCATTTTCTCATTTCTGAGACGGTCAGCTTTCGAATCTGAATTGACGCATCATTATGGATGACGTACCGCGAGCTCTTCTGGCAGCGCTCGGCGTGACCGCTCAGTCTTCTCTTCACTTGCTTTCTCTGCCGGTGGAAGCCCTCCCCACTGATCCCAAGGCCTCTGGAAGGCCGAGCTCCCTCGTCACATGCAGAGGTTATGGGCAAGCACCGCTCATTCGCGAGAGGGTCGGGGGGAGCTTCAATTCAATTTGCCGTCGGAAATCAGCCATCGGGATCTCGACTCTTTGACCGAGATAGTCAAGGACTACGAGACCTTCGGCGAGGGTCAGCTTGAGCACCGTTCCGAAGGAGGGCCGTTTCTTCACGAGATCCGGAGCTAATCTCAAGAGCAGAAAAACCAAATGCATGTCGGACACTATTGCCACTGTTAACCCATGCTCTTTCTGGAAGGCTCCGACTATGGTTCTCCTGATCGGCCCTTCGAAATCTTGCTGGAACGCCAAGGAGCCAGCGACTACGAAGTCCAAGTCGAGCTCAGCCATATCGTCAGTCATTTTCTGAAGGCCTCGATCTTCCAAAATCGAGAAACAGTCTATTAAGACGGCTCCCGCACCATCCCGGACTGGTCCTTGCTCGAGACTGGATAGATATTCCTCCGTGATAGCGTTGAGTGCTTCTCGGTTCCTTATGCTGGACTCGATCGCAGCAGTAAGAGCGTCTTTGTCGCCGTCGGAGTATTGCTCGAGAGTCTTGTATAATAATTTCTATCTCCCAGGCACTCTGGTTGGACTGCACAGGCGGCACCTTCGAGAAGTTCAGTGAGGGAGTCTTTGCAACGCTGACTGTCGCTGTATATGGCCTTGCTTATGGGCACGTTCCTGAACGTAGCGCCCAATTCTCGCATCCTTGTCCTTCCGTCTTCGGTGAGTTCTCCGAGCCGTATCCGTTCCCTACCGAAAGCCGATTCAAACGGGGGGAAGACTTCCAATGGGAACCGCTGTCCATGTCGGATAAAATACACCACTCGCATCCTGTGCACCGACGGGTAACAAGCGTCACCTACGCTCCGCGGCACGAGGTCGACAGGATGACAGCCGCGAGTGTGGCACCTTTCCTGTTGTGACGGGGATCTTCGCTGTCTTTACCGCAGGTCACTGCCGCCGATCCTTGCTCTCGACAGTATTAAGCAGGTCCTACGCGAGGGATTCCGCGACTGATGCGCCAAAATGATCTCGAATTCGGCCTTCCAAGTAATCCGGTGGACTCCTTACGAACAGCGATGACTGAGCCACCGATTTGTTTCCGCTTCGCAGTCGTACATCCTCAACCGAGATGAACCGTTGCTCATGATAGAATCGTGGGTTCGACGATATCCCTTTCTGGACGATCGACTGCATCATATTAATAAGTCTGAGCTGTCCAGAGATGGTGATCCGAAGCGGAACCAATCGTTCGAGCATTTTTTTTGGACTTCCGCAACTTAGAGAAACAAAAAACACTCACGATATCCTTCTCCGATCTCTCAATCAGTCAGTTGATCTGGCGATCCAGCTATCAGCAATGCTGTATCTTACGGTGGAGAGGTGAGGGAGGATACCGAATTCATCATCAGAACTCAGCGAGCTATCGAGCTCGAATAATCATTCTCGAGGTCTGTCAACAAACCACAAATGATGCCCTCTTTTCGATTCTTTGATGAATCTATGTTATGCATATGATCAATGACCATATCGATACATTACCATATCTTGGACGCCTTCGTTCACGCCTCTGTACTTTTTCACGACGCTCCCGAAACTTGATATATTCCGATAGGGCTGAGACGATCGCCTCTCGCGACCATGCGTCCGGGAAACCCAAACCGACTTCGGGAGGAATCATCCTCCCCTGATGATTAAAACATTTTTACTTCTGCTGGAACAGATTGTCTTGAGGCTCGGATTTGAAGGCTCGGATTTGAGGCTCGGATTTGATTTTGGTGTCACTCGATTGGCTGCTTCGGACTTCAAGAGTCTGACTTGTTCCTTCGATGGAGGGAGATCGCTTTCGATCCGATGAGAGCTCCATCCTGCCGAGGTGGGCGACATTGCCTTCTCGGGGCTCTACGATGGTGCTACATGTGTTCCGCCCGGAGCAGCAAAGCTCACCTCCAGAACGAAACAGACGTGAAAGGTCAGCGAATCGCAGTGCTCGAACACTCGTGGAAAATCCATTGATGGAAGAAGAATAGAAAACATGAGTCGACGGGTTTCCGATTCTCCGGGCTCGATGGTCGACTCGATTTCCGCCCTGCGAAAATCAGAATCTTCATTGAGATCTTTCGCAACCGCGGGCGGCCCCGACTTTCCATGTTTATTGACAAAAATCTTGGACTGTTGAAGAATATATCAATTCATGAACACTCTCAAGACATGATCGACTCTGTGTCTGCACACCGGACAATCCGTTACCGTCGCTGCACATTTGAGGCAGGCTACCATATGGCCGCAAGGCACGAATGCCGCCCCTCTCTTGTCATTGAGGCATACGACACAAAGCATTTCCTCGTGACTTTGGTCGCTGCTCTCCTGAATAGCTCGATCCGGGGGGCCTGATCCCGTCAGGGGCTTCAAATTAAGGGTCGATTCCAGAAGAGCCGCGAGCTCCTCAGGCGAATTGAATCCTCGCTGCTCTCGGACCATGAAGCTCTTCAGAGCGACCCGGACAACACTTCGCTGGACACCTTCTTTCTCGATTTTCGCGGACTCCTGGCTGTTCATTATGATATCGAGCTCGTTCGCCAGTGCCGGTGATAGGGCGGGCTCCGTGGAATCTTGGCGTTTGAGGTCTGAGGCTTCGGGGTTCCGCCTCGCCAAAGCCGCCTCGACGAATTCGCGGCCCTTGACTAGGAGCACGAACTCGCAATCTGGATACCAACGCGCGTGTTCGTGCCATGGGTCGTCGTCAGCCTGCCAGCCACACAATCCGCCTCCGCATTGGAAGCATTTTGTGAAATCTTGTACTCCCAGACTGAAAAGTCCTGATTCCGCGAGCCTACTCTTATCGATGCCGCCCGTCCAATTTTCGAAGGTTCGGAGTCGAGCGTCCGTCGTCACCATGTTCTTGTACTCAGGACCGCGATGTCTGATGAGGTTTCTCTCATGCCCGGCCTCACGTTCCTCGCTTAGAGCGTAGTCCGGTGGATTCAAGACGAAGGGACAGGTTACGGCGAGCTTCGCGTGCTCGTCGAAAACATTGTCAACGCCGACCCAGCTCTCGACAACTATCCGGCAATAAGCACATTGTGTACGCTGATCTGTTCTCCGATAGAAGAATCCTGCCCTTGCGAGACTTTCTCTAAGGTTAGTGTGAACGTTCTCGAATGACTTCAGTCGTTCCGAGAGCGACTGCATGCGCTGCAAGGTGTGGACGAATCGTGCGTGCTCGCAGCTAGGCTTTTCCACGAGGTGCTCCACAATAACATTTTCCGGAACCTTATCCAGCGTCAGACCACAGGAGAAACATTTCAGGCATTGCTCTTCTACGAAAAACCCCAAGTCCGCTAGCTGCGGGTCGAAAAGGTTCCCGAATGTAGCGAGACGATCCTCGATGTTGCGGAATCTCGGATGTGCGCTTGTGCTGGGAGTCCCGTCGGGGCTGCTCGTCGAGTCCACTCTACGCCGCACGCTTGAAGGCTCCTGGGATCCGAAAGAAGAAGAAACTCTCATCAGTGTGAAATCAATAGGCATCGAATGGATAGGGAGCTCAGGGAACAATATTCCTTAAATAAAGATGTACCTAATGACTCACCAATTTTGAAGTCAATTTGAATGCTTGAGGCTCTAGGCTGACCGTTTGCTGAAATGAAGCAGAGACAGGACCATGTTCATTAATTGAGCGTACCAAAGACCAGGCTCCTACCGACGATCGATCATGCATGCGGAGAAAGCTCGAGTCCTGATGGGATTGATTGAGTTGAAATTGAGATATCTCGCTCAGCTAGAAGTCGCTTCCGCCGACAAACTCGCTCACTTTCGACAAGCATACTGTCCTGGGGCTCATTCTGGCGAATAAAACAGAAGTTCCGAAATTCACGAGCTCTCACTAATTCGTAAACTCGAAGCCGGTCGTGGTACCCCGAACATGTGAGCTCCCACTCACGAGCAGATCACAACGCTTGACGGGAAGCATCGCTCAAGCCGTCGGTCAGCGTAGCAACGCGCGGTTGTGAGAGGAAAAATGAGTTGATAAGCTCTTGTGTGTTGTCAAAGGCGCGCCCACTGCGCTCAAGGGTTGAGGAATTACTATCCGTGACGTAAGACTCTGGATCAAGTTGTTCATTCCGCCCGAGGATCGAAGGACAAGGAGGAATATCGCGAGACTCCTCACTGCTTGATTGACAAGTCTTGCTGCATGAAGCGGAACAGGTCGGTCGACGGCGTATGCAACATGTGCGATCCCACCGGGGTCGATTTCTTGAATCAACCGGATCCTGCTCCATGTGGATCGTACACGATGCCGTCGAGATCGCGACCTCAGCGAATTTCTTTCTCGCCGAACTCTATTTGCGGTCCGAAGAGGAATCAATTGGGATAAGTTCGAAGGTATTAGGTGATTAAGGCCGCTGGTCCCGTAGATCGATACAATGGCGTCATGCTTCAGCGAAATAATGTGAACGTGCTCGCGAATAGAAATCAGGAACAAAGAGAGGACGGGAAAACCCTGTCAAACGGGATGCGCTCCCGCTCCCGACTGCGGAGAAAGCGCTCTATCGCTTTCGTCAAAGCTTCGCCTTAACGATTCCAGCTCAAGCTTTTTCTCGGACAAGCTCCACTGAAATGAGCGCGATTCGCGAAGTACCTCCTCTTGAGAATCGAGCCGGAATCACGAGGACGGGTTGCAACCCCGGAGCTCTGTCGTTTCCACGATACTTGAATCGAACTCGATGAGCTGATTTCGAGACTTATCGGCGCGATTTAATGCTGTCTTGAGAGCGTGTTGAGCTCATCCAGAAGGAGCGCGGTCGTGCTTACGCCGGTGAGTACTATAGTCAATGAAGAGAGCACCGCCTGCCAGAAATCACGAGTGGGCGTCTCGCAGCCGTAGGAGGCGATCTATAGTTAGTGGCCCATGGTCAGATGTGGTAAAACTCTTCCAGAATCATTTCAATGCCAGACTGGTAAGCTGACATTCCTTCCCGTCAGTTTCGTGAATGACCATAGAACCAAAGCTCCGGAAATGTCAATATTTTGCGGACTTGAATCGAATCTAAGGCTCACTTCACGAACAAAGTCTATTCTCGGTCGCGATTGCTTGCATAAACGAACTCATCGCAGACAAGACTTCAAGCCGATCGAATATTACGAATGGAGAGCAATCACGCCGAGGGATCCAAATTGAGATCCACATACGTCCTCCGGAGCGATCAAAGAAACACTCTCAATCAAACGCTCGATTTTCCGTGACTGAGGCAGGTTGTCAGGGTGGAAGGCAGGTGAAACTCCGCAGAGAATCTAGAATATAAGACTAATGCGCTCTTTCCTTCGGATGTCAAAATTATTCTGACTCACTCTTTAGCGAGAGATCGCGAGGATTGTCCAACTCGAAACACACGCCTGTCTCAGATGAGGCTTTACTGCGCGATCCGACTGACAGTTCCACGGGCAACAGTTTCGGATGGCGAGGGAGAATGTCGTGAGTTCATAGTCAACGGGGAGCACGAATCGCAGCTTTCCAGCTATCTGGCGTGCGCGTTCCGACTGGTGAGTCTCGTCGGTGCTTCATTGGGTGAGAAGGTAGAGGAACTGATCGGGCCAAGGACGATGATTGTTGATGGAAGCAGAAAGACTTTCATCTTCCAACGCATCTAAACTAGTAGTAGTAGAAGTAGTAGTATAGGAGCCTTCACGCATTGGTGGCTCCGGAACCGCTGTTAACCATTCAGTCTATTGGCACACGGATCACACGGCAAGCCCGGCTGCCAAGGCTGCCGAAGCAACGAATTCGTCTCGGAGTCGCGACGGGAGAATATTCACAAACCATTTCCAGAGGACACTACAGGAGCGTGACTCGTGACGAGCGTGAATTTCGAAAGATATGCCCTCGACTGCGCCTACTTAGCTCCGGTTTGCCGACTAACGACCTTAGGAAATTTATATTATGCCTCGGTCTGTTCACTGCCTGGAATGCAGCGAGAGAGTCACTGTTCCTGAATCTCTATCAACATCGTAAATGACTTCTCCCCGGATGGGAGAGCGATTGGAGAAGCGCCCCCGAGTCCTCGAGCGAAGGAGCCCGAATGTGTAGCGGAGTCTCGATGCTCGTTCTCACCTCTTCCGTCTTCCCCAACGCAACTTAACTCTGTCTCGACGAGTATATAGCAGACCGTGCCTCTTCTGAAATGACCAAGGAATAGCTTGACCATCGATGACAGATTGCAGACGAGCTAGACGGAGCGAGGCCAAGGCGGAGCGAACAACGGAATGAATGGACTAAAAAAGAGGGTGGATTCGATTGTCGACAATCGGAGAGGAGACTCTCAGACCAGTTAATTTTCCGGAGCTGCCGTTCATCGCTCACTCTCTCGGTCCATGCTCGTTTGTGAGCGGTCGAGTGGTTCCTTCATGGCGGCCTTCATGTTTGGTCAGCGTGACACAGACATAATTTGTCACAATCACGACGATCCAGCGTCCGCTTTTGTCAGCTGTGTCATCCACTTACGCTTTACGTTTTCTGCTTTCAGCTCGTCGGGACCGAAATCTCGCTGTGTGCATTGAAATCCCTCCCCTGACCCGAATGCCGATTCGAGGTGACAGCGATATGCGGCGCCTATATTGAAACTTCGCCTCCCCGTTAATTCGGTAGCGAAAATTCACGGAAAAGCGGCTCACGACTCGGAAATTCATTCATAGCTTCCGATGATGTCATACGAATACACTCGACCCCTACTCCATCCGATCAGGCGGCGTGGGATTCATTTCATTTCGTCGATTACGAGCGTTGATTTCTTTGAATGAAATCGTCCTTCCAGAGGAGTCGAACGATGCTCCTCCCTCTCAAGTCGAGCTGTAACATTGGCCGATTCTCGGCGCGATTCTCTGGGTTGCCGATATTAGTAGGGTCAAGCCTGATGCCCGAGGAAGATATCTAACTCCTTCATAAATGCGGCTCGCACCCGAATGACGTGCAGTTCCGGAAACTGTGAATCGAGAGCTCCGACTAAATATTCCTGTCCTTGGACGGCTTTTTCCTCGGAGCCTCCCCGATCGCTGTCCGTGCCTCATATCGCCTTCTTATCAGTTTTTCAGTGCCTTTCTGCCTGCTTTTTTCCTGGTTTTTCAGAGCCTGAACTTCGAACCTCCCCACTCATTATGGTGACGTTTCTGGGAACCCCCTCGATTTGGACTTCGACGATGTGCAGCCGCAGGTACAGAAGCTCCCTATGTATGACCTGTTTCATAGTAGGCCTTTGGGTTCGCGATTACACCCAGTTCGTGGACTATAGAATCCGAACTTTGGATTGAGGGGCAAAAAAGCTGAGGAGGAGCTGCGGAATATCATAGGCTCAAGGAAGGAGAGCTCGATGCCGAATGATTGCCGAAGAGTCGATGCTTGTACCTTCCCATACCCATTTATCGGGAGCTGAGGGTGAAGAAGAATGGAAAATAAGAAGGAAATGCGCTGCTAGTTCCAATGAATGAACCCGTCCGGCCGACTCATGATGAATTATCACACCACCAACAGGTCTCCGAATGCGGAGTCTCGCACAGTCCTTCTCTCATGCCTGCCGTCTCGCCGGTGGGATGGAAAATACAACTCCTGTAGAGCTTGCTATCCCAGCATGAGCATTGCGTATAAGCGCTCTCAGATTTCAAACGGTACGTAGATATTATTCGGATTCAATAAAGATATCGATGGATATCCGAACATTTGAGTCCGCTCTCGGGCCAATCCAGTATTCCTACGCCCAGCGTTCAGGGAACTTTCGAGAGTACACATGATGAGTATTTTACAATGAGCTTCTCGACACGCCGAACTTCACGAAAGAAACGTCGGTCTCGGACTCCGACATTCATCGATATGGGGAAGCATCCATTGCTGGTAAACGTCGATTGAAAGACTCATGAAAGACTCCATTTATCAACGATGGGGATTTAGATGTATCATACAGGGTATTTTTCATTTCATACAGGACGATCCACCGGACATTGGAATAATCTCCGCGGATCCGTTGCTTTTTGTAATGCCACGCAGATATCTCCCCAGCCGAGACCGGCTTTCTTCAGGGGCGCATCGAGAGCAAGACGCACATCTTTCGACATCTGTCCTTCACCACCTGCTTTTCTGTCCAGCAACATCATAATGAGAGCGAACACAACGGCTATTTCATTATGGCGGACCAGGCAATTTTCGTGGGTCAAGTCGAACGTCCGCAGTAGCTGGGAGATATCTCTCGCTAACGTATGGGCCGGCGTTTGCATCAGAGAGGAGGCGGTTGCTACCAATGGGGAAATTCGATCGAGAAGAATCTGCTCTCTGATTAACCTCTGCTGATGTCTGTCAACATGCGGCAGGACTGGCTCGGAAGTGTGAGAGCTTTCCGGGAGTTTCAGATCACCTGAGGATTCTCTTGATTGACAGTTCTTCCCCGCAGACTTGAAACCGACCTTCCTCTTGCGAGTGGGCCTGCAGGGTACATTCCTCTCTGGTTTCTCCAAGGACGACTCCTTCGCGGCTCCCATATCCTCATCTTCGTCTTCGTACGTTATCCCTTCGAGTTTCTCCTGCTGAGCCAGAAATGCATTCAGCCGGATGTAATCCGCCATACGATCGTCGGGATGGCGTCCGGGAGCGGTTACGCCCTGGTCGTATTGAGCTCGGAGTTCCAGAAAGCGATCTTCACCGACGATGTGGTGCAGAGAGGCGATTGTAAACCATTCACAGAGCAGCTTTTCAAGTTTCTCGACCGTGAATATCTCAGGCGCAGTCATTTCTTCTCGCCTGGGGACTGGTTCCGTGCGTGGAATTGGTGCGTGCTGTGTACCGTCCCGGAGTGAAACTCGATCGACACTCTGTGACAGATGCTCGATCTGGAATGGAGAGAATCGCTGGCCTTAGGGGTTGAAGCTGTGGGTGAAGGCTGGAGTTCGGGCAAGAACTTTGACAGAGTGAATGTTTCCGGAGCCGAGTAGCTCCCTTCCTCACCTCTTTGGCAGAAATCTTTTCTGGTTCAGGGAGGAGGTTTCCATCGAGGTTCCCGCCTTTGGGTATGTTCCGATCGTCCTCCCGTAAATTTATTTTCCTGCGATAGGGAGCCTCGACCATCCATAATGGGAGCTCGCTCAGCTGTGACTTCAACCACTCAGAGTTCTCCGCGCATCTGAGACTACAGAAAATTCGATGCTTCTCCGTTGAATATACCTGAAACCGAGACGTCGAGCTCAGATGAATTTGAGGTGCTCCAGGAACATTTTGATCTGACTTTGTCCCCAAGCTGAATGACGAATCCTTGAAGGAAAATGAGCAAACCCCATTCGCTCTGGCATTCTAACCGAGAGGACTCGGCCCGAGTCCCTCCAATCGTTCCGCATCGAAGTCGGCGACAGCTCTCTATGCATGAGGGGAGGGAGGACTGACCTTTTTGGAGCGCACACAAATCTTGTACTTCGGCATCTTCAAGTTTTGCGAAGCAACAGGATTGTCGCATACAGGATAGCCGCAAAGCTCGGCAAGGGCGCGTTCCTCTGTACAGTCCTGATAGCTTTGTTGCCACAAGTTGTTGCAGTGTTCTCTGGATATGAAGGAATCGTCAGTCGATCGAGGTACTTCTATCGTCGGGAAGGAATAAGGAGAGAAGACTTAAGTCCACGGAGATCAATGGTTCACTTCACTGACAGTAGTGAAGGTGCGCGAGGAACAATGTTCAAATTTCCCCTGACAGAGAGACTTATTTGGCCGAGGGTGATTACCGACCCGCGCACGAGAAGGAAACAAAAGCTTGAATGGAGCACTCACAGTAGTTGGCTCTCGCTGATGTTTTTCTCTAGAAGAGCCTCGACACTCTCCAACGACTTCTTATCCAAATCTCGTTTGGCTTCAATTCGTTTCCGCAGCAGTTCGCTGGTTTTGCCGTTCTCGGACGTTGCTGCCATCTCTCACGGAGCTGGAAGATCATTCCTCTGCGTGAATGGAGACTCGGAGCCCGAGTCACTCGCTTGTCAGGGAACCGGAGTTCCTATCCGTTTCTGTGGCAGGAACGAATCCGTCGTCGTCGTCGAAGCACATCGGCACATGTCGCGGGAGAGAGTGTAAACAAACAACCGCCACTGCGTCTTTCCCACACCGCGCGATAACCGCTCACAACTGGGCTTACGTGCGAATACTTCTCGAATTTTCCAGGGAAACGAGATCGGAGCTTTTCGTCAAGCGGACGAGCACGTCGGGAGGACGCATGAAGAATTGCAACGCGACGTCTGCCCTTCTGCGCCGTAAATCCTTCGGGCGTCGCTAGCGGAGAATCGATGCTGAAACTCCTCTTCGGATTAGCTTACTCACCACTCGAACGCATTCTGATGCGGAAGTGGAGGCATGCGGTTCCCGGGGAGTTTCAAGCTATTCTGATTCGTCCCGGAACAGACCCCCGTACGATTGAAACGTCATTGGGGGCTGTCATAAGCAGAGCGATAGGACCTCGTTTCCTCAGCGCGATGAACGCATTTTCAGCGCGCGCGACCTTCGCCGTTTCGAACTCAAGGTTTCTTTCTCTTAGTCTTTCTCGCCTTCCGCCAATCAAAATCTGCGATATTGGGATTCGATTATGAGCCAGCGGGCTAAGAGCAGAGCTCTCGCGCGACTCGATGCTGAGATAGAAACTTCGGCCATCAGGTGATCGGTGATCAGAGTGAAAAGTTCAGTACACTCCCTCTCCCAGAGAACCATCCTCAAGAGAGGCTCAGTCCGAAATCTCGTAAACAAAACTAAAAACTGCCAGAGCAGAAGGGGCTCAGAAAAGGCTCCGTAGGACACAGAACATCTGCGTCAGCATCTCCGATGCCATCGAGACACGCTTGACGCCGTGTGAGACGATCTCAACGCTTGGAAAGGTACTATTCCTCGCTTTCGATTAATATTTAGTATCGAACGAATGAGTACCGGATGCTCGCCGGGAATTTCATCAGTGAGGGATGAGGATCCCGCCTCTCTGGATGCCGTTCTCGCGGCTCGGTCTCATCGAGTCTCGAGCAAGTACAATTTTCTGACCGACCGAGCGATCAGTCAGCCGCTGTACGGTAGATAAGAGACGAATCGCTCGAGGACCAGAATGCCCTTCGGAGTTTGATCAAGATACGCGCAAGAAGATACTTCTTGTCTTGGCTCCGCGTCTCTCACCAACTAGTTTGAGCTCTGCGATTTCTTTGAAGGGACAGATCCAGCGATTGAGCATGGGTCAAGAGACGCATTACCCGAATGGAGCGACTCAGTATCGTCGCTTCCGCAAAGATCAGATTGCGAGCTGGCTGATTCGGAGAGGTGGAGGAAAGTTCATGGATCTTCCACTAGGGAGAACGCTTTCGCTACGGATTGCAAGCAGCTTTTGCTCAGAGTTGTCGTGGATGAGCGGTCCATACTCGACGAGGTAATACCTTCCGTGCAGATTCCTCGAATTCTCGGACCGAATTCGGGTGACATCCTCCTCCGAGCGCATCAATTCGCCCTGCATCATTCATTCATGAACCTTTGGTTCTGCGACTTCTCTCAAGAAGAAGTGTACATAGAAGGTCTCTCCGCTTCGATGAAGCAGCTGCAACACATTCATGAGCGTTCGGGGAGGCGAGGTGTTCAGAGCATATTCTGATACAGCCGCCAACGACGAGTACCATCCGGTTCCTCAGCTAATGGGGCGCTCGCTCCAGATGGCTCGAGGAGGCTTCGCCCGGGAGGAAGTCCTGCTCTCTCTCTCCGTCTCCGCTCCAATCAATCGATTCCGATTCTCGTATACAATTTCGCGGGGATCGAAGCTAAGAATGGCGGAGGGCCCTCGAGACCAGAATCCAGATTCTTCTTCACAACACTCGCTTCTCGGAGGAATTTATTTCTGTTCCGACTCTCCACGGGAAAGAGCTTCGGAAGAGCAATGATGATTCAATGATGACGAATTACAATTTTCCACTTATGCTGCAGCTGTGAAGCAGCGGCTGGATCCTATCGAAGCGAACACTCTTTCTCATCAGAAATAAACATGTGGCTGTCTTAGTCCCAAGAGGGTCATAGAGACATCTGTTTGGCATTCATGAACATCGAGCACTCAGCAGAAGCGTACTTGGAGGAAGAGGGCAGGGCGGGGGAGCGGTTGCCGCTTGAGACCTTTGGTGACCTTTAAATGAAGTACCGCGCCCTTCCCGTCCCCGCCTTTCCGGAGAGACGAGGCCATATTTATGTCTCCTTGTATTTTCAGGCTGGAATCTTCGTCTTAGAATGATCTCTAATCGATACACTGAATTCTACCCCGATGGAATCGACGGCCTGAATGGGAACAACACCGAGTTCATTCTCGGTTTGCCAGCTACTTCGGATACCGTATTCGAACAGGTGCCTATATCATTGATGGATTCTTCGACATCCCCGTCCGGGCGACCCAAGCGCCAGGCTTCCTCGAGAATTAGCGACTTCGTGGCAGCTGAAGCTCAATTGATAAAAGATACAGTTAAATACGCGAAACTCTCAAAGGGAGCTGAAATCGAAAAACAGAACCAGAAGCCCCATATTCAAGATCGGATCAATGCCGGGGCGGAGTTCAGCATCGGGTCCTCAGATTCATCCGATGGATCTTTGAAGAGAGCCAGGAACACCTATCCTTGCTGTTACTGTGATGCGACATTCCCTGGCATTGAGCTGCTCGAGCACCACATTGAGAGCCATGTGAAACCGCTACCGCACATCTGCGCCATCTGCAAGCACTCGTTTTCTTCTCGTGAGACTCTCGCGATACACGAGGCTTCTCATTCCCAAAATCGAAAGTTCTCTTGCCCCTCGTGTCCGATGGCCTTCTCCCAGAGGGGGAAATTGAAACTTCATCTCCGCACGCACAGCGGAGAACGTCCCTATAAATGTACGCACAACACCTGCATGTACGCTGCCGCTCAAAAGGGTAATCTTACCGTTCATATGCGTGCTGTGCACGGAATACACTAGGAGCATTTTAAACAAGAAGCCCCTCAACGAGAAATCACTTCTATAGCTGCTGAAGGGAGAAGAAACCGGGGATACTCCCGGCTCAGTAATACTGACGTCCTCTAGTTCCATGGGCCCCAAGGAACTTGTTAGCCCACGCACCAAGAGTCTCAGTCAGAGACTCGGGGACTGTCGTTCGAGGAAGTAAGCGGGAAGTACGGGTAATATTTCCTGTAGTGCAGTAAAAGCTCGTTACTACGAACACGTAGGGACCGACGAAACTGGTTCGTTGTACCCAGTGTTCGCAGTAACGAATGCCGCTCAGCACTATCCCTATGACGAGCTGGCCAAAGGAGGAGAAATTCCTTGTTCGTTATACCGAGAAATTCGTTGTATTGGGGATCGTTGTAACGAGCTTTTACTGTATATCCCGTCGATATCTGGGAATACTTTGCCGAATCTTTCATGTGATACTTGTCTTCGTACTCGGCACGACCAATCTCAGCATTTTACAAGGGAGCTCGTGACTGAAACTTCATCTGTCGGAAATAAATTTTACGGTTATTATTTTTTGAAAGAAGCTCCTTACATTTGTCCAGAATCGGTTTCGGCAGGGCGAACATACGATTTCTCATTGGAGGGGGCCATCTCGACTTTCGGGGGAGGGGGCACGGCTCCGGAATCATGACGCGCCCCCTCAAAGCCTACGCTTCAGCATTAAAGTCCAGAAAATCCTGGGGGAAATTTTGACGACAAATGAAGAATACCTGTTAAATGACAGGGACAGGGAAAACACCGGTATGGATAGTATGGAGCTGATAAGTAGGACAACGTGCTGCTCGCTAATATGTATTCTCATTTTCACCGAAGACGACGAAGCCCGTTACAGTTTAGAATCTAGAAGGACGAAGTTGAGCGCGGGCTAATCAGCTATGCTGCGCGATATTCTACACCCCCCTCGCGCAGACCCCTCGCCCCTACCCGCTTTTTCCGGAAAATCTCATTCGCTTCTAGTGCAACCCGAGCCTTCCCCTGCAGAACTTGAACTTCTCGGACAATAAACTCTTGGTGAATATGTCGGCTGTCATCTCAGCCGTAGGAAGGTGCAGGATCGTCACCGACCCCTCGGTAACCATTTCTCGAATGAAGTGGTGGCGTAATGCGATATGCTTCGTTTTCGAGTGATACACGTTGTTATCACAGAGAAGTATAGCTCCTTTGTTATCACATCTCGATATCAACGGACGCTTCACGCTGACGCTCGGTAGTTCTTCGAAGTTCAGTAGCCACCTTATTTCCTGACACGCTGCTGAGCATGCCATATATTCTGCCTCACTAGATGAGAGGGCAACGGTTGGTTGTTTCTTGCTCATCCATGAGATGCAAGCCCCAGCGAGAATAACAGCGTATCCTGTCGTGGATTTCCGACAATCCAGACATCCTCCCCAATCGGCGTCGGAGGATACTTCGATCTCTGTCTTGATATTGCCATCGAAGCATAGCTGGAGATCAATCGTTCCTTTCAAGTAACGGAGAATCCGTTTGACTGCCGACAATGCGCCGATATGGGATCTGAACAGAATTAACAGGTTATGGGCCCAGGCTCGAACCAGTGAATGTGATCAAAACATCGGGAAGTGTGGAGAGTCGTGTGAAATATTTAGTATTGTGAACATTGTGCTTCTCAAGATTCACGATGCCTCCGAGGACGAGATCAGGGTTAAGGTCAACCGAATCGCGCTCTTCGTCGGGAAATCGAGAACCTACTACGTCTACGTCTGCGTCTACGTCTACGTCAAGGAAACGATCGAGCAGGAGTTCCACGGAACGTTCGGAAGACCAAGAAGCAATACCTTCAGCACCGAAAAGAAACACGGATGAAGACCGTCCCAACATCGTAGAAGAGTCTGATAGGAGAGCCACGACGTCAAGCACGGCAAATGTAGGGGTTCCATCATCTCTTGAGGAGCTTGAAGGAGCGTCCAACTATCTCGACTGGAGGTTCTTCATGGAAGCACACCTTTTCGATTGTGATCTTCGGGAATATGTGGATGGTTCTAGAGCCGACGAGAGACAAGCCAAGCGAGCACGCGGAGCCATAGTGTCCGGTGTGAAATCGCATCTCGCCTCAGTCATTCGCGATTGCAACACCGGTAAAGAGATTTGGGATCGTCTGGAAAGCATGTATCAGCCGAAGGGACTTTATCGACGAGTCGCCCTCCTAGAGGAGCTCACTAGCCTGAAATTCAGTGACTGTCCGGATATGGAGACGTATATCAACAGGAAGGCCAGCCTCGCTCAGAATCTACGAGCCATCAACGGGAAGATGGACGATTCCACGCTCGCAGGCTCGATTCTGATGAAGTCACCCGAGGAGTACTCGCCGCTTATACAGAGCATTTCGAAGTCGGACGAAGTCACTACGGAGTTCGTGAAAGAGAGGCTATTAAGCGAAGCATCTCGCCAGGCGTCGCAGAAAAAAGAATCCGC